CGGTGAACTGTAACGGAACTTTTCATAGGTGTCCAATTCAAATTCTTGACACCCCTCAGCCAATCAGAACCCATACTATGCAGTGTTTCCCCTACCATTATATTGGGGGGGCGGGCACCTTTCTGATAGAAAAGGACATCTGTCATTAAAAGTAACGCATGAACACCAAGATTCCTTCAAGTGTTTGTGTCGCCGTGTCAGCATGTCAGCTTGTCCCCACCCCTCCAACGCTGTAAACCTAGGGGAAACACTGCTATGGTATGAATCAGATTACTGGTCAGCAGCTACACAGTATATCCTGGACTACCAATGGATCAGCGGAACAACTGCTGTTGGAAGCAGATGGGAATTTAAAGCCCTGTGTGGCTCAAACAGGCTTTCTAATTATTATCTGATTGTATCTGTTGAGTAATAAATCATTTGCAGCCATGCCAGAAAAAAAGAAGCAGTTGCTTAAGTGTTGATGTTTTCATCTAAGGGTGAATAAAGTGACCGTTTTAAAGCCTGCAGCCATAGAAAAATATTGACCATTTTTACTGTGGAAGCAACATTAGTTTCACTTCTGTGTGTTTTCATTCCTAATCATGGTCTCCAGCTGCACATTAAGCCAGCTTGTGTAGGTATTTCAGCTGAGGGCATCCCAATAAACAGTCTATTTATATACCTGCGTGCTTCTGTGCTCCTGCTCCGCTATCCACCAAACGCAGAAACTGTGCTGCAATCAGCCACACTGCCAGGGAAATATTTAATGTTTATGGCAGCACTGTCGCTCCCATGGGTGTCAAATGAGCAGGAATATTAGTGTTTTGAGCTATTAGGAGAGCAGAGACTGGAGCTCACAATGAGAGACATGAGAAAGGAGACTCGCAGTCTCCTCAGCAACGGATATTTTTAGAGGTGGTTTTTAGACATCTCTCAGATGTTAGGAGCGGTACAGGATGAGTGCTGGCAGATGAATACACTGCTCATTAAGTTTTTAAGCAGGATCTGCAGAATAAAGGATGTTTCACTTCATTTGTAGATAAACCTCTGCAGTAAAAATGACATCATTTATTAGGGGTTTTAGTTAAACTGCAACAGATCATCAAGAAATTAACCAAACAAAAAAATGTGGTAATTTACTTGTGTTTTGACTTTATACACTTTGCTGAACCTAAATTACAATTCAGTTGTTTAGTCGACTATTAAACAAGCCAGTGGTTTTTAATCAGAGACAATTTCCAGGTAATTTTGATATATAACTTTAATTAATCAGCCCACAGTCCTTCATGTCTCTGGAGACACAAACAATGGTGTTTTGCCATTGCTGCTTTCTGGGCTACTACACATTTGTAATTAATTGCTTCATATTTGTCTTTCTTGTTTTATTTACACAACAACATTTGGTGGGATGGATGAAGTGTTTTATTGAAAATCGGATTCCTCCAGAGACACTGATTCCATTAGCTGAAATGAATAAAAATAGATTATGTAAAAGGAAACAACTTCAACAACCAAGACTAATTAAAAGTTACTTACGTTGTATGAAAAATGGTAATTTTTTGGCGGCTTACTAAGGCTGAAAGTCATTTAAACATTCAATTTGTAAGCAAATAATACAATATCGGTTGCTTCTCCTGCCATTGAGTTTCAATCTGGGCCCTAAAGTAAAGGAACCCGATACTGTTTGTATGGACGTGTGGGTGAATGGATAGTGTTGACATAGAAACAAATTGTCATGTCTACCCTACAACCAACAGAGTTACAACACTGGCCCCATGGAGCCCCCTCCTCCTTTAGTGTGCTCCCACAGGCCGGGCTCACATCCCTCTGGTCCTCCTGGTATTCTCTGCGGAGGTTAAGCAATGCTGCCGCTAATGTGAGGAGAGAAGAAAAGGAAGAGGATGAGTGCTCTGCTTCCTCACAACAGATGTTAGGGGAATGTGGGACTGAAGTACCAGCGAGGCAAAGACATAGAAAGTAATGATTGATAGAGTCTGTGAGAGCAGAGAGCTGCTGGTGCTAAATTTCCCCTGTGCCAGCCTGGATGGTTTAAGTGTAATGACACAGAGAGGTACACGGATAAACCTCTGCTTCAGTCTAATCAAAGCCTCAACAATCACCAGGATGTAGACAGTAAAATAGGCACACAAACATTGTGATGTGTGAAACACTTTACTCAAATATATGCTTTCTACATGCTGTCATACAGTGTTTACCTGTTACTCAGTTTAACTCTTTATTTATTTTTTCTTTATTTCAGTTCCTTTCCCTTAGTTAGCCATAAATAGAAAAATTACCCATAAACCCCAAAAATGGCTTATCAAAATTAGGCCTGCAACACAAATCTGTATATCTACAGGTAAAAAAAAAAAAAAAAACAATGTTTGTTATTTTCAAGACTGTTTCGCAATTACATTTCTCAAACAACAGCACAGCAGACAGTGTTACCATCTTTAAAGTGATATTATACTGTAGATAACATCATTTACCATCAGGGAGGTTTTTCATGATTTGGTTTAAAGAGTATTATATGCACAAAGGAAAATAAATTGATGCTGTAATGTATATATAACAGTTATACATTCAGACTGCAAAAGGATTTTAATCATAATAACATTTGTTTATTGATTGAGGCCCTTTCCAAATTGTCACAGTTCAGTAGGCAGTACGTACTTTTCAGTATGGAGTTTCAGTATACTGAACTTTCGTGGTCATTCAGTATGCATTTTTTGGGTCCACCTCAGTATATTGAACATTTCAGTATGGATACTAACTTCCGGGTTTCATGCAGTATGGATCGGATGAGTGCTTTCAGGAAATTAATTGTATTTTACCACCCACAATGCTGTGCGAAATTAAACGTAAATCGTCACTTCACATCTGCCTCCAAATCGAAACAAACGAGCGTGGATTAATTGAATCAATTTTTAATCTAGAGTTAAAATCCCGTCTGAAATCACTACTTTAATTAACAACAGAAAATATAACAAATATATGCATTATTATAAAACCTTTCCCCCTCTATTTAAATAATCATTTCACTATTTAAATGTGTCTTTATTGGTTTATTTTACTTGATATTCTGTATATTACTGTCTTTCATTTGTACTTTTCCTTATGTACTGTATGTTATTTAATCTGTCTTTTACTTGATTTACATTGTGATATTGTTTTTAGTTTACCTGACTGTATATGTGCATTACTCTTCTTGAATAAAGCTAAACAAAAAAAAAAAAAAAAAAAAACGGGTGAATGAGGCCGGTTCGGGTAACGTAAATGACGACACTTCCATACTGAATGAATCAGACGAAGTAGGGACAAATATCTGCCTACTGAATAGTAGGTACTAACAGTATACAGCACGGATAGTAGGTACTGCCTTCTGCCTACTGAAAGCTTCAGTAGGTACTTGGCAATTCGGATACAGCCTATGTCTTTTCACCTCACTTTGAAATCTCAGTCTTACTGTATCATGCTCTGGCTGTGCTATATAATGTGTATGATCAGATGATGATGCAGAATATTATTTTCATCATATTGTTTACTAGCTGTGATTGGTCCATTTTGTTAAATACTGTAATTACACTTTACTACGGAATATTAGACTTAAGGAACTATGATACCAACTTGGTTTTAAAAGTAGAAAATAAATAAATCAGGGGTTTGAAGTGACTGTGCTGGAAAAAATAATGTCTTGCCTGAGTGAAGAAGGAAACATCCCCTAACAACTGATATGGGCCAGTACACACTAAGTAGTATGAGTCTCTTCCTCCAGTGAGGGAGCTGCTAATCCATTAACCAGTCAAGTGAATGTATAAGCCAAAAGTGTTTTGTTCGAGCGGTGACATGCATGACCACAGGAAACCTATACACGCAACCTTCGCAGAGAAACAACAGCCCCAGTGGAATAGCAAAATTGCCGGTTTGAGGGAAAAAAAAGAGACATCATTAAATTCATCCACTGTGTACCATTGGAACAATAGTGCAGGCCACTGACTGAAGCTCTTCACAGACGTAACCAGAAGTGACTTTTTGTACCCGCGGGCAAAGCGGCCCAACAACATTGTTAATTTAATGGCATCCTCTGTTTTTTTACTCATATTTCCAGTTTTCCAATCTATTAGTATCTGTGCTGGGGCTTTGTTTTATGGTGTGAGTCTTCCCGCCATGGACTGAACTAGAGGGTATTATTCTAGCATTGATTGTGCATTGGGCCGGCTTTGTACTGTGTCACGGAAGGGAAATTCATTAGCATGCACATACTCTCTGTGGCATTTTGGCAGGGCGACAAAAGAGTTATCCTGAAATGTTGCACTGGGATTTGAAAAGCCTCGTTGGTAACCAGGGACGTCCCCTGCTGCCTTTAACTGGTGTTCAATACTGAGGTCTTTCTAAGAGGACCTCCCATTAATGTGACCTGGGGGGAATTTGTGTAGCTAACTAACCTAGTCAATATAACTGGACGATACTATAGGTCTATTTAAACATCATTTGACTGATTTCATTTTGAAATCTACATATTTCTACACACAGATTTAAGGTTCCACAAAGAGAAACAAGCGATGCAATAAGACAAACGACTCTGAACAAATGGAACCTGTTTTCAATTACACAATTTATGTTCCTCAAAATGCTACCAAATTCCCATGGTCTCCCTGGCAGGAACATAAACTGGATTGATGGGCCTCCATGCCTCAAAGTTGCCCCTTGTGGTCCAAAGAAAGTTTTTTTTTTAATACCTTGCATCCCTCATGGTGTGAAATATTGCACCTGTTCACATTTAATAGTTCATCTATCATGAAATAAGAGCAGAGGTTGGAAAAAGATTTGTGTGGGTAAAAGAAAGAAGGAAGAAAAGATTTTCCTGTTGATCAAGAGTTTCAAAGCGATACACACCTGGGACTTGCGAATTGACGTAAAATGTTTCCTTTTATGATCTATTTGGATGTTTAAAAGAAGAAAGACTTTTTTTTTTCCTTTTGTCTGACCTGATTGTTTTTCTTATGTCTTCTAAACAGGTGGTCTGTGCATTTCCCAGTCAGTGAAAATACCACGTGAACCAAAATCTGGAGAGTTCGACAAGATCATTCGCAGGTTGAGTGAGAACCCAAATGCCAGAGTGGTCATTATATTTGCCAACGAGGACGACATCAGGTGAGTGCAAAGAATCCTAATTGGCTTATTGAGTTATCATGTCACCATGAGTCATCCATAAGCCATTTATTACCTTACAAGCCAGAAAAGGAGTAGGAAGAAGTATTAACTTATAACGTTGTTTTTTTTTCCCATTCCCTTCCTTTCACTTTTAATAAGTGCAGAAATAGAACCGTCTTCCAAATCTGCTAATGCCTAAAGTGTTAAATGTTCAATTTCCATCAGTGACTTGAGGCTGCTGTTGCTGCTGGCATTAAAATGTCACAAATGTCTCCGGTGTGTAAACAGAAATACATTTGCCTTTTCCTTGTACAATAAAGTCTGCTACCTGCATGATATATTTATGAGTCAGAAATGGCAAATATGATTATATTTGGGTGTATTCTTGTTTTTGTGTCACAGGGGTTCTGCAGGGTCCCAAAGTTGCTCTAAACACTAAGACCTCCAAATGATTGTAATCTAAAGCAACAAAGGAATTCATCCATGGGAATGATTAGTTTGAAGCAGTAGAAGTTAACTTAGTTCATGATCCAATGTACTTAAAATCAACAAGAGGTAGTTGCTCTTCACTTCAGGATATACATTGTATACCACTTGATTTCTTACTTTAAAAGATGTAACCAACAACCTGAGATACTATTTATTCAGCACATTAAGAATTTACTCACAAAAGACACAGTGAGAAAAGGACTTTTTTTTTAAAATTTAAATTTAAAAAAAAATAAAGAGAACTCTGACACAGTCTGTATTAAGAATCAATTAATTGGTCCACTGACACACAGCACTGTTGTGGTTTTGTAAATGAAAATGTTTCCCAGCAAAGCCTTAGTGGACACGTGTATTCCTGGTGGAAGTGGGCATTGATTTTGGGGCGGTCTCTGGATGATGACCAGGGCAGAAGTCCCAGTGCTCATTGACTTAATCCGGTCCTGATAACGGGTAATAGTGTGGATATGTAGTAATTACAGAAAGCCAGGGGGACTGCAGCTCTATCCATGAACCCAGTAAGTGTTCGCTGGCAGCAGCTTAATGAGAACCCAAATTGTCTGCATAGAAAGTGGAAGAGACTTGAGCTGTTCTGATGGAGACCTTTAATGTGACAGTTGACCAACCATACAAATATACAGTTTCAGCAGTATGAGGAGTAAGACAAATGTTTCTTTACTCTGTCTGAACTATCGGAAAACAACAGGGTCTCAAGGCATTAAGTGGTATGAGCCCAAACTTAGATCTAAAAGAATAATTATGTGTACACTTAATTCCCCAAGGCTGATTATTTTACAATAACACAGATTATGTTTGTCATTTTCAGTAAATTGTCCCTGAAATGTAAACATTTAACTTTATTCTCCAAATGAAACATTCATATCTTTAACTGTTTCTGCTGCAGATGTGTTGGACTTGTTAATGAGCGTATTAATCAACTTCGATTTTGTCCCTGTGGACTTTTAACAAAGCTGTTTTGAACACTTTTCCTGCAGTGATTTCAAAATATAATGAAAATATCCTTCAGTATGCAGTGTGGTGTTCCTTTGCGTCTGCTTTTCTTTTCTTGCTGACATTTAATGGGACAGATTGCACCAGTTCCACTGTCAATAACTGAGACACTCCGTCAGAAAAAATGAACTGCCCCTTAATTGTGCAATCTGTTGTGTCCATTTGAAAAGAGTATTGTGACCAAAACACTTTGGACAAAGGTCCAGAGGTATCGTAACGTTATTATGATTCAAATGATGTGATGTTCAAGGTAAATTTTATTGATTATTAATGTAAAATGGCAGGTACAACAACTTCCATTAAGGCTGTAAGTAGGTTTTTTGGGGTAAAATCTTAACATTAAAAAACGTTATGTATGTTTAGAACTCAACCTGGCTGCAGTAGAAGTAGAAGGGAATGGATGTCTTCAATGCCAGACACTGCAACTTTACATCTCAACGTGTTACTTTCACCTCAGAATGTCTGTCTGTCTGGTCATGTCCTCTTTATGTAATCTCCTGATGTAAGAAAGTCTATTTCTTTCATTTTTCCTACATGGAGAACAAAATTGCATCTTTAGAAATGCTCATTTCACTCAGACCAGACTGAAGGAAAAATCATTACCAATCAAACTAAGGTAAAGCGACATAAAGTTAGTTGGATGACTCACTGCTAGCCCAGTTCTGTAGTGATTATTCTACAAGGTTATAGTGTCCTTCTTTATGCAACAACAAAGTATCAAAGAGATATAAAGATGGCGTGTGTCATTTAGGGTAAAAATGCCTGTCTTTTCTAAGTACAGTATAATGCTCTCTGTTTATTTTGGGACAGTTTGAAGGCTGATAATGCGTCACATACCAGGTGGCTGTGTTTAAATTTTATGTTCCTGTGCTCAAGCTTTCTTGATGAAACTCTGCTGCTACAGCAGAGCTTGCTGGCAGTTTTTTTTATAGCTCCCCAAACTTACTTTCATTGGCAACAAGCCTGGACAAATGTAGCAGGGGTGTCATTCTGCCACAGCCAAGAAGTCGTCCACTGCTCTGGGAATGGATAGTGTGTCTATGGTGGCTTTTCAATTCTACTTAACTGCCTCATTGCAGCTTTTTGTACAGACTCAGAATAGAAATTTCTTGCCATGAGATCGCCTCAATACCAGCTACACTTCTCCTTAAGGGTGCATTTAAACTGAGTTCTCATTGCTGAATGTGCATGAAATAGATCAAAACTCTGACAACACAACAATTTATGGCTCAATTATACATCGCTCTCCTTCTGTGTCCCACAGGCGGCTCCTTCTAGCAGCTAAGAAGGCCAACCAAACTGGACATTTCATCTGGGTGGGTTCAGACAGCTGGGGCTCTAAAATCTCCCCAATACTCAACCAGGAGGAGATGGCAGAAGGTGCTGTAACCATCCTGCCCAAGAGACAATCTATCAAAGGTATTTATTACATATTTCCCAACCTTACCTTACAAAAAGCAGAAACTGATTTATTTTTGTTTTTTAGATGAGAAATGTATTTTTTTCCTGTATTCAGGCTTTTGGGACACTAAATAACTAATAATATCATTGTTGATGCATCTGCTTATCACTTTAATGTTTATCCATTATATATTTAAAAAGGTCAATCAATATCATTTCTCAGAGCACAGAGCGATGTCTTCGAATTGTGTTCTACAAACGGGGTCTTATTTCTCTCAGGTTTTGATCGCTACTTCATCAGCCGGACACTGGAGAACAACAGGAGGAATATCTGGTTTGCAGAGTTCTGGGAGAATAACTTTCAATGCAAGCTCAGCCGGCACGCTGTGAAGAAAGGATCTGGCATCAAAAAATGCACAAGTGAGTCTACACTTAACAGCAGAGAAGGCACGGGGTCAATGGAAAGCACTCAATCAATGACCAAGAATATTGATTGTCTCTCTTGTGAATACATTATGTGTGTGTGTGTGTGTGTGTGTGTGTGTGTGTGTTTGGTATGCATTAGTCAATGTATTTGTCATCAGGGAGAAGACAACCATGCTTCTCTAATTCAGGTTAAGTGTAATTGATGTGGATAAGTGAAAGGATTCTCTAATTTCGCCCGAGATAAATTAATGTTCCGTTTATTCGTCTGTTGGCCGGTTCAATTCGCAGAGGGGCGACAATAGCAATCACAAAACTATGCCACAGCATGCACGCAAAATATAATCAATAGTAAATCCAACTGGCCCATTACAAACTAGCTTTCTGGTCATTAAAATCAGTAGGTTCTCCCAGCCTGTCTCCCATCCCACTGTGCTGTGCTGCACTGCATCTCAAGTAGTTCAGGCTGGTTTTTTCCTGCCTCATGTACATGTTGGGAGCATGGTTCAGCACAAAAACAGACACCATCGAATCTGCCAGTTCTCTAGGCTCTCTATCTTTATGCCTCCAAAAACCATGAACACACATACACTCGTATGAGTCTGGTATCTGAAGAGATGAAAGTAAACAGGAGCAGTGTGATAACGTCTAAAAGAGTGAATGCCAAAGCTTTCATGACCCGTTGTTTCCTCAAGAGCAGGTTGAACTTCCATGTTTCTTTATACTTTAATGCAAATGAGAGAAGTGTTGTAGCATGTCTTGCTAACTGCAGGAATATTCATTAATGCAATAGTTAAAATCCGTTGCAGCACAATTATGTAACAGCATTATGTGACATTAACAACTACAAATTAATCCATTAGTGCTAAACTAACACAATGAACGGCAGTAGCTCAGTCTGTAGGGACCTGGGTTGGAACCGGAGGGTCGCCGGTTCATGTCCCGTTGCGGACCAAATATGGAAGTTGGTCTGATAGATGGAGAGGTGCCAGATCACTTCCTGAGCACTGCCGAGGTGCCCTTGAGCAAGGCACCGAACCCCCCCACAGACCACCAGCTGAGGAGCGCCCGCTGTGGGCAGCTCTGTCACTCTGACACCTCTCCATAGGATCCTGTTTGTGCATGTGTGTGTTGCATGACTTACAGAGTGTAAAAACAGAATTTCCCCTTGCGGGATCAATAAAGTAAAATCTTAATCTTAATTAAATAAGTTCATCAGTTGTCCCACAAATCTATGTCTACTAATATCAATTTGCAGTTTTGTTTTTAAGTTATATCATCTATTCAGAGCATACAATAAAAAACATAATGGTGTTTATTTAGTATAGATGTTAGAACTGAGTGATAACCCCAGCAACAGAAAAAGCTGTCATCCCTGTCGGTGGGAGTATTTGTTGATAATTATCTTGAATGATTTTAAATAAGCACTGTAAAATCCAGAATATAATTTACACAGGTTAATAAAACGTGGTCTGATTGTGGAGGTCTCACAGTGAGACAAAAGGTGACTTCTTGCATGACAATTTCTATTTTGTTCAGCGTAATCCACAACGTGCAGCTCTCTTGGTACCATCTGTTTTTTTTTTTTCTTTGTGGAGTTTGCACTCCTTCTAGCTACAGTATGTTCGTTGACCTCTCAGCTTACAGTGAAAGATGTGATGTACAGACCCTCGTCTCTTGAGACGTGCTGCCCACATCCGCTGGTCACTCGTTGACTTTCATTGAGGAGTCTTTCAATAATACCAGCACTCCACAAGCTAGATTTACTGAATTGCATACCACAGTTTGCTTTAAATGCCCCATTATGACCTCGTCACCATCATGTTTCCCAGAACAGCTTGCAAGACACAATTAATGGGAGTGAAATTTCAATCGTGTCACATCGCGTGTATAATGTGATGGTGACGGGCTGCACTCACCGTAATAACGGTGTGTGCCTCAGTTTTTTACACTGGTATATTGGTCGCACAGGTACATAGGATGCAGACAATTTTCTTGATGATATAAATAAGAATCAAAAGTGCGTCTTACACACTGGATTTTACAGTTATTACCATTAACTATATATTTCTGGAAGAAAAAAAGAGTCTTCAATCTCAAAATTGCTTCAATTTAACTACAACTGTTGCACATTGTTGTGGTTGTCAAAAAAGGAAAGAAAAGCATTATCATATATTACAAGTGGACATGATATACTGTTTCATTCTCATATTTTGAGGTCAGAATCAAAACTAAGTGGAGATGAAAAGGAAGAAAACCTCTGCAACCTTAAAATGTCACCAACACAATCAAAGACTTTCTAAATTGGTACAATAAACGGTGAACCGGCAGAACTAAACAATTAAGCAGAGATTTAATTGTCACTTCTCTTAACAACAGCGAGTCCCTTGGCACAGGCTAGAGATGCTTCCAACCACATACATTTCAAGGTTTCAGGAGAACAGGAGTCTTAAATTATTTCTGTATTCATCAGTTGTCATGGTGTCTGCTCTTCAGCTAAATTGTTAGAGGTCCTTTTCTGTCTCTGAGTAGCCTCCAGGGCACAGTAATTTTTTACGGGCAAGAGGTTCAATCATTTCACTCAGGCTTTCACCAGTATCTCAATGCTCCTTATTGTTCCTTTTGTAATCACAAGCTTTTCCTGTCCCCAATCTGCTGTTTGTTCGCCACGATACAACAGCATACAAGTAGACCGTTCAAAATATAGAACGTAATGTTACAAACCAGTTGTGAGAGAAACTTTTTCTCTCAGAATCCAATTAGTTGTTCCTGTGACTTTATTTGTTATTGAAGTATCCTCTTCAAGTCATTTTCCAGGACTGGGACATGAAAGTGTGTCTGACATAAACAGAAAGGAAAACAACACAGAGTGCAGATGTATAATTCAATTCCTAATGTCACACTTTTTTACACTGTTCTTGTATCTGCTGCCCCAGAGGCCAGGATTTACTTTGTTGACAATTCTACATCGTCACAGCCGATTCACAGGTCATTTCTCTGCAGCGAATACATCCCCAGAATGCAGAAATACCATTAGGAGTACATAAACAGGCCCAAAGCTGCTTACTTTAATTCTTCACATATTGGTTGTATTACATATAGCTGACAATTTGTAAGTTGCACCAAGCTAAAAGCAGACAGAACTCCATTAAATCCCACCTTCACAAATCCTAAAACATCCAGTTTTTTGTTAGAACTGTTTGAGGGAAGTGTTGATTCAAATTTATGATCCTTTCTTTTGGATGCAGTTTGAATGCCGTTGAAATTAATGACATCAAGAGCTGTATGTTATTGAGACCAGGACCACGATCAACAATTAGATGGACACAATCTTGTAACTAAGAGTCAGACAAATCACTTTTAGGTATATATATATATATATATATATATATATATATAAATATAATATGTGTAGAGCAATATGTTACTTTACTCCAAGAAAACCCGTTTACAAACCTTTTTTTTATTCCAGTTTGAATGTTACAAGACTTTGAGGATAAGGACCAATCTCTGAACTTATCAGCTATTGTCTGACAATAATATAGCCTCTTGCAGTATTGACTAACTTCTCAGGGTTTCAAGTTAAGTAGCAGTTAGCGATGAAGGCCAAAACTCTCTTTTTCGAGCATCGCCTTTGACAACAGTCCAGCTCCCGGCTTCAGAAGCGAAGAGTTGTGTTGAGATATGAAGGAGTAGATTGTTAGCTGGATGCAGATATCTGTTTAAAGAAAATGATAAAGCTAATAAAGCTAAAATGTTGTGATATGTTCCAGGATTGCATTACGCTGGATTGGGTTCGGCCCTTTAGCACTCCACTTAGACTGGTTTCCTGTGTACAGTCAATGCCAACTGAAACACTAGTGGATGATAGTACAAATGAACTACAAATGGAAACTAGAAGACTTCTGATAGCAAATTCTGGTCAAGCACCTGTAGATTTTCATAATGCAGAACGTGTTTATAGAGATCATGGTAAGGACTAAACTGTGTTGGTAAATGAAGCTCAGGAAATGTGTTTGGTCTGTGTTTCTGCAAAGAAACTTCTTTAAATACAATTTTCATGACTTTAACACGAGAAGGACCTTGGAGTAGTGTTGAAGTCGCTAACCGAGACCGAGACATACCTGAGACCAGACATTTAGGGATCGAGACAGTCAAGATCAAGACCAAGGAAGGGCGAGACTGAGACAAAACCAAGACCATTAATTGCAGTCATTCACTGTAACAACTGAAGGTTGTGGCTGTAACTGGGGGATAAAAATTAGTTTTTTTTTATTTGTGGTTTCAGAAAGGGGCTTTTTCCATATAATTACAGTAATTACATGGAAAAATAGTCTGTCATTGGTGGTTTTGACCCGTCTTGATTTAAAATCCGGAGTCCACCCAGTCTGAGACCGAGACAACAACGGGTAAAAATGATTTTGATTCCAAGACGAGACCTTCATAAAGTGCTCTTTAGACCAGTCTTTAGACCAAGACTGATTTTGAGTACTACAACACTACCTCAGGGCTCTTAAATGAAAAAAATGGCTCCTATTAGAGCTCCAATTCTAGACCCGTTTTGTACCTCGTGGAAAATTCTAAAGCGGGACAGGCCTGCATGTAAATATGAATGAACAATTCTATTTGAAAAAGGAGTCATTTAGTCAGTGGATCAATCCATTTTCATTTATGTAGCTGCATAACACTATAGGTTATTTCATTAATTATACATATGGTAAGTTCTAGACCATGCTCTATAAAATATGTGATTTTAAGTCATTCTACTGTACTTCATAGCTCGAGTGGAGTGAATTTCTTGTATGACACAAAAACCTTATTATTTATTTATTTCTGTATTTGAAGTGTAACAAATCATTACATTAGGTCACATTTATCAAAACGTTTATACAAGTGAACTCTTCTTGTGTTTCTTCTTTGAAAACGCAGCTTTCAGGGGTATAAAAAGGGCACAGCCACTTTTCTCTCAGTTCTTTCAATACCACTAAAAGCAGGGT